GAAAAAATAGTTAAGGAAAAGATAGATGTATACATACTTCGAATTCTTTGTATCTCATTCCTTTCAGAATAATCTTTTGGGAATCCTTAGAATTAATGCCACCATCTTCAGCTTATATAACAACCAAAATCAATACAAAAGAAGTGAAATATGTGTAAATAGATACAGACAATGTTATACAAAATTACCAGAAGAAGAGGAACATTGATGATGAACGGTTTGGGAAAACGGAGACGAAGAAGATTGAAGAGGAAGAGTTGCAGTTATTGAAATTGAACGGCGTGGGTAAAATATATGAGAAAAAAGTGATAACGTTGATTTGTAAGAACGTAGCGGAGCGAATAACGGTGAAATAGAAGACGAGGTTGTGGGGCGGAAAACGATGGAAGTGGTGGTTGTTGCCATCTTTACTCGCCTGATCCAGATACAGCAGCTCGACTCCATAAGAACTGTTAGGAAAATTCCAAACCTCATCGTATTCGTAGGTTTTGAAAGATTTCTGCCTCGCTAGGAAATATAGATAAATAATCTTTTGTAATCACAATTGCGTTTGTAGTCCAACGGTTAGGATAATTGCCTTCCAAGCAATAGACCCGGGTTCGACTCCCGGCAAACGCATATGTTTTTGCTCTCTTTTTTGTTGATATATTTTTCTAGCATTATTTGTTAACTTTGCCAAGTTTTTGCTCTCTTTTTTGTTGATATATTTTTCTATCATTATTTGTTAACTTTGCCAAGTTATGTAGTTCAATGACTCTATAAGTTAGATTTTCTCAAATTATACAGTAAAATGTTAGTTTGTACACATATTAATCTAACACTAGATAATTTTAATATATTTGTCAAACCATCTAGCTTGATTTAACAATTCTATCATGTATATTGTTTGAATAGACCTAATCATTGGTTACTTGGTTACTAGGTCAAGTCGTTTGGACATACAAACAATTTTTTTTATGCTGAGTACAAGAATTCATTATTATAATAACAATATTTTTATAAAGGAATTTAGGAAGTTGTAAACCCATTTTTTTTTTGTATTTAAACTCGTCACTTTATGCAAACGACACCCATGTTTCTTATTGTATCAAACAACATTTGATACAAAAATCAATTTACATCAATATTCAAGGGCTCTTCACCTTGATCCTCAACTTCCTTGCAATTTCAATTGCTTTAGGATTCACTAGGCTCTTGCTAGAATCACATTGTTCAATTTCCACCCATTTCACAACCTTCATTACAAGTGATTTATGAACTTTTATAAACTTTGATTCCCCCATACCCTTTTCCAAAGCTTTCTCCAAAAACTCCATGAACCAATTTCCAGCCTCTCTCTCAATCTGCTTTCCTAGTTTAATCATATCACTCAGACATGAATGCTTGTTTCCATTTTTTTTACATGTTCCCATTTTACCCTTTTGGTTAACATTTGATGATCTCGTGTGCTTTCCCAAGATTGTTGACTTCTGATTGGAGTTGTTCATGATATTGTTGACTTCTGTTGCTGATTTAATTGACACCATGTCGGCTATGGCTTGAACTATTTGGTTATGGAATTCAAGAAATTGATCAAAACAATCTGTTGGATCCTCGGGGTTAGCCAACTTGCTCAAAGTAGATAAGCTCCTATAAGAAATATACAAAATCATAAATTGATAAATAATTTTTTAGTATAAAATCATAAAAGTCGTACTTGAGAGACCAAACAATAGTTTCAGTGGCTGAGGCATTTCTAAGCGCTTGAAGGGCAATTTTCTGTGCTTTTTCTCGTTGTTGGATTGCTTCCTGATGCATCATTTTTCACAAAATAAGAAAAAAATAAATAAATAAAAAGAAAAAGTTAAATGAAAGAAATTGCTTTAACCTTTCCCAGTAAGCTAAGCTTTCGTGGCAGATTAAATAAAGAGGTCTCAGAAGATGAATGAGCATATGGAGACTTCACTTGTGAGTTTATATTTGTATTCAAGGATTCCTTAGTTTTTACACCAGAAATGGGAGAAGACACCACTTGTTTACTCTGTAAACTTCGGGGTGATGTGGCACTTTTCTTTTCCTATATTAAAGAAAAGAGCATATAAAGAACGGAACTTTTGAATAACAGCACATAAATCTTCTGATTTGGTTTCCAATGAATGTTCATATACAAAACAAGATTGTATAACTAACAAAGCTCTTGTTGTATTCATTTTGATTGCTTTAATAAACCTGCAACTGAAAAAAGTCAAAAACTTTAGAAAAGAGGGAAGATGTACCTACAGCTGAGTTGTAGGGACTTTTGTCACATATGCTACTCTTGCTGCTCCTTGGAACCTTCACCATAGATGAAGTAACACAGTTTTTCTTTACACTAGTCACAGGACTTTCAGTCAATTTAGACATTGATACCCTTCCATTTGAGCTTCTCTTCTCAGCTGATCTAGAGCTAATCACTGAAGACTTCACTTTTACAGGTGTACATTGATCAAACTTCAAAGGACATGGCTTTAACGCTATAGGTGATGCACAAACTCCATGTTCTCCCTTTGCCCAAGAACCCCTTCTAGAAGCAGACGATTTTGAATTCAGATGAAGATTTCCTTTTGGCTGATTCGTTTCCTGTTTTCCTTTCAAACCGATCAATGGTTCAGGCATTCCAACAAACGGGTGGCGTCCAGGAAGTGGTTTCACTCCTTTAGCTATAGGAACAGGGGAACCAGACTCCAATTTTTCAACATGAATGAACTGGCCAAGCTGCATTTTATTACTAAGAACAAGATCGTCTTTTTCTAAAGGTAATCTCGCGTAGATTGAATGAGATGAATCCGAAAGTTTTATGTAAAATCCATGTTTTGGCCAGAGATCTTTCTCATCAAGATCAGCTGGCATAATATCTAGAACTTGTAAAAGTGAACTCCTATGTTCACTTGTCGGCTTCACCCCTGAATTCATCCCATCCAGTAACTTCAATAAAACCCCCGGTATCAACGTTGCCATTAAAACAGGAAACAGGGGTTCTTCAAAAGAATCAAAGATTGAAATCAGGAAGCACAAACTAGTTCATGTCATCGATAATGGTTCAATTCCATCATATATTATCTGGGTACCAAAGATTTTAACAAGAAAAAACAGAAATCACAAGCTTTCAAAATTTAGAAATTGAATACTAAAAATTGGAAAAGATCGTGATCAAATTGAATTGGGTTTAAAAATGGGAGCGGATAAAGACGGGTAGGCAAACGGTCGTACCTTCGCTGTTGTGTCACGGTATTATTGATGGGTTCATAATTCATTATAGGCGGGCAGAGTATTCTCAACGACCAAGTTTGAACTTTGAAATGAAGTTTTTGTTATTGAATAATGAATATTGATACGCTCCGGAGAAGATGACGAAAGCCCCTGAAACTGCTCAACGAATTTGTTTGTTATTGGGGCCGAATAATACTTTATTTGTGCTTTTATATCGGGCCAAAATATGAAACATCTCAACAAATTTTATTATTTTTATTAATCTAATTTTTTATTATCTTTTAGTTGTGATATATTTATTGCACCGTTTAGAAAGTCAAATTTTGTTAACATGAAATCTGGATTTATTTCAGTGTACGCCACCACGTACCAGATGTTCTATCAAAGTTTATTTTATTTTTATATAAATTTATTATTATGTTTTGAGTTTTGACATTGTTATAATATTCTAATAACAAATTTTATAAATACAACACATAAAACGTTTTTCTAGATATTAGTGTTAAAAAGGTTTTTTAATGGCAGATTCGTTATTTATTGAAATAAACTTGCAACACTCATACAAAAATTAGTGTAAACTAGGTTTGCATCCCGCGCGATGCAGCGGTAGTTAGGGATGAGTATTTGGACCAGGAAACCGGCCGGAACCAGAACCAGATCCCGATGGAACCGGTCGGGCCGGGACTGAGAAAATATTCTTGTGAATTTTTGGAACCGGAACCGATAGAACCGGACCCGGTAGAATCTGCAAAAACCGAAAATGTATGTTGCTATTTCTTGATGACCGATTTTAACATTGAAGACACGACAATAACCGGTAGGAACTGAGAACCGGTAGAACCGGCGGTCCGGTTTGGTTCTTAATTTTGGCCGACTTCGGTTCCCGGGCCGGGTCAGTTCCTTTGCTCATCCATAGCGGTAGTGCATACGTTAACAAGTTAGTATTTTTGTATACATTCAAAGACGGTTATGTTTCTATAATATCAGTAGCAAGTAGCAACATGTAGTAAAGCTATAACATTTAAACATAAGAGATACATTGACAAAGCTAAAAAAAAAAAATAAGAAGTCGTTATGACCGGATGGAATATGCTACAAATCAAAATTAGAATGTAAAATAAAAAAGAAAAGAAATTGACTTATCAGGGTAATTAATTTTTTGATTTTTTCACATCTGGGTAACTGTTTTTTTACACATTTAGGTAACGAAATTTTTGAAAGTGTTCACATATGACCATTATGATCGGATATAACCTGCTACGGCCGGTCATAATGGTTATATGTGCACACTTCCAAAAAGTTTGTTACCTAAATGTATAAAAAAAATAATAATTATCCAAATATGAACAAACCGAAATGTTATTTAGTTTTCCCAAATTTCGGCTTATTATTACTTCAAAAACCGTATCTCCCAAAACCCAAAAATGGTAGTGGAATAAGGGTAACATCTCGAAAGCTATAAGCCCAACCAAGATTATTGGTCCACCGGTCTGGCCTTTTTGTTCTTTTCATATCTATCTAGTTGCTCGAATGGCCCAGGGTTGTCATGCATCAATTTACCCAAAACAAAACCATACTTATCCTCAAATTAAATAATTTTAATCTACCAATCTGCATAATGCATGAACCATTAATATATACCAGTGACAAATTCTATTTGTTTTCTTGCTATGGATGGGTTGTTGATATAAAAAAAGTTATTTAAGACAAGATACAAGATTAATACAATCAAATTGATACATAGCTAGGAAAAGAATGGGTCCCCTTCAGATCTATGATCTCTTCCTAGACATAGACGCATTAATATTACCATCGAACAAAGTCTCAATCAATGCCTCGATGTCTTCTGGTTGATATTTGATGTACTTGTCTACGCTTTTCGCTGACTCAAAGTGGTGTCTATACCTCCCTACAAATGAGCGATAGGCAGGAATGACAACCGCCGATATGGATGCCCGGAGCTCAGACAGCAGTTGCGGCTCCCTGACCACCCATGTGCTCTGTGTCTTGTGTATCTCATCAAACATGGCGTTGAAGTTCTTGAACCTCTCGTTCAACGCCTGTTTATTCACTTTTCCGTTCACTTGTATCCCTTCTTGTGTAATGCATTGTAACAACCTTGTCCATGTTTCTCTCTGGTAACTCTTATGGTAATGCCGGACCTCCGATGACTTCCGGCGACACCAATTGTCGCCCATCAGTTTTTTAATCTCGTTTGACTCTCTTACTTTTGTTAATATGTATCTACCATTGTTCATTAGGAAAAAGAAGCGTAACGAAGGGTCTTTGTATAGTGTTGATTTCAATGCCAGGTTACCGTCTAGAACGGCGATCACCGACGCTACTTGTGCCGCCAGCGGCGACTTCTCCATGTCTTCCGACGTCGCCGACGGTTGAATGAGTTTTGCGTTTTGGAAGATCTGTTCTAAACAATTTCCATACGCACACGCCAATTTCAAGTAGTTTAAGACGTAGCTTGACAGAGGGTGTATTGCACCTCCCGGCACCGGAGTTTTCGCGGGGTCGTTTCGAATGGAGTTTTCTAATTCACCAAGCATGTTCACCGCTGCGTCGCCGATTCGGTCGTTGGAAGATGATATTTCCGTATTCAGATCATTACGTGATTGTGAATCTGACAAGAATCCGTCGTCGTTGTCGTTGATTATTATCGCTTCACGAAGACCGGAAAGCGCCTCATACATATCAAGGAATCTGAACAGCTTCTCCACCGACGCCTTCGTTTTGGCAACTGCTCTCGCGTAATCAAGTAACGACGTGATGAGGCTATGAACCAGATTGATGAATAGACCTCTGAAAACGGAAACGTTGTCGGCAAAAACCGTCTCGCCTAACTTCCGTTCAGCGGGAATTAGGATGTCGGAACATTGCTTTATGATGTTGATCCATCGTGCCACGTCTGGTTCAAGCAATTCCCAGCTGTTTAATCTCGAAACATCTTCTGCGTTAAGCTTTTCGAAGTCGTTCTTTTTGAGTTGCTCATACAATGCATTTCCACGCGCCATGCTATAAACATGTGAACATTCGTTTTTGTAACCACTGGAAATCATGGTTGTTACGATTTTGGTAATCCTAATTATCTTCTCCTCTGAGAAACCTGGAAAATCATCATCCTCGTCCTTACTGGCTGTGGTGGTGGAATTGGAATTGGAATTGGAATTGGAATTGGAACGCTCTGGTTTGAAGGAAAAGTGCCTTGAAGAAGAAGTCATCATCTTCAAGCTCGGTTCCGGAGGAAGCTTTGCCTTTGAATGCTGTAGAAACGAACGAAGCTCTTCTTCCATGAACATGATAATTCGATGCAGAAGCTTGTTGATTCTATCAAGCATAACCATTGATGTGTTTGGAAATTCGCCTAACGCAGTTTTCAATTTACATAACAGCCTAACAGATTCATACAAAAACGGGTCTTCATCGGTCACCTCACCGTTCCTACCCGGGCGTCTGGTTGATTTTCTGGTTTTGGACTTGATGATTAAGGAGAAGGTGTCTATGATGTCCGGCTCCAGCGGGGTGGTCTTGTCCTCGGCCGTGCATAATTCATCGGTGAAACGTTCAATTTCGAGCAAGATTTGATCATGATCGACGTCAGGTATAGCTTCATCCAGGTCGTCGTTAGAATCGGAAAGTTGTGCATTAATATTATCAGGCACAGGGACAGGGGAGGATTTGCGAGGTAAAAATGGAGAAGAAAAGGACGATCGGGGACTATCCGTGGTGGTGGTAGTTTTCCAACGCCTTCCGATGAAGCTGCCTGATTTGCCATGTCTGTCCATGGATGAATTGGTTCTTGTGCAGAATGAATATTGAAATGGAGAAAGGAGGAGGGAAAGGGAAGGGGATTATGGTTGGTTTAGATTGTTTGACTTTGACCCGATTAATAAGCTTTTACTTACATGACTCCATGGACACCTTTTGCTTTGCTTTGCAATTTTATTAACAAATTATGTTATATATTTCATATGGACACCCGATATATTTTCAGATGTAACAGATGGATCAGTTCAAACAACACAAAAACTGTAATAACCTTTACAGATTCCATATTGTTATCTTGACAAAAAAAAAAATTGTTAAAAAAGGAAACCAAATTTATAGACGGTGATTTGGTAGTTATTGAAAAAAAAAAAACATTTTCTATAAATAATAATCATAACGGATATGAGTTATCATTTATCAAAGGGATTGTACTCTTTAAAGTTGTGAGAAATAAGATCAGAAGTTAAAAAACTGGGAAAAGAAATAAAAACAATAATCAAATCTTTGGAGTTTCCCAATAGATCGAAGCCGCTGCCGCCTCCTCCTTCTACCCATCTCCTGCCGTCGTATGCTCGTATCCCTCTTTCTATTTGTTTTGAGCTCGTAATACATTAAAAATATTTATATATTACTTGATAATTTTAATAATAACAAAGAACTAGATATTGATTTAAATATACGTAATCAAAATCAAAATGATGTCAATTTGACAACGTGGTCGATCAATTGGTAAAATGGCTTATAAGGCTGGACGGAGTGGGAGCGAGAAAGGGGTGAGGGAAGCTTCCCTCACTCTTGAACACCACTCCTTGGGTGAGGGAAACATCACGCGGGAAAGAGGTGGGGGGAGGGAGTGCCGCACTCTCTCTCTTCATGCTATTGGACAATTTTTTTTTCTTTTTTCTTTTTATCCTTTTTAATATTTATAAAATTATATACCTATAAAAAAATATATTAAAATTCATGGTTTTTAATTCCCTACAAAATGAGTATACTATATGTATGAAATATATTTTTTTTAAAATATAAAAAAATACTGAGGGAAGCTTCCCACCCATTCCTTGGGTTTTAGGCGAGGAAAAGAAAAGTGATGGAAAGAGTGGTGTGGCCCACAAAAAGTGAGAGAAACATCCCTCCCACACCCTCCGGTCTAAGAGGTAACAATGTTTTTTTTTTTAGTGAACAAATGTTTTAGAGAACTTACACTTTGATAATATAGTTCGAGGACAATACGTTTTTTTTTTTTAACTTTCCAAATATTTTTAATACTCATTTATCACATTAACTCTAATAATAATTCTATTTGACCTATATGAATGAAATTGATTTTGCATATAGATATGTTACTTAAAATGAATTTTTTATTTTCAAAAATATAAAATAGTAAGCATAACAAAAAGACAAAATTGCAAGAATGGTCCCTGTGTTTATGTCGAAATTGCCACTTTGGGTCAAACAGGTTTGGACTAGCACTTATGGTCCAAAAGTTTTCATTTTCTTGCCACTTTGGTCCACTTTACTTTAAACTTTATTGTAATGACGATTTTGCCCTTGGATTTTGTTTTTTCAGTTTTTTATTTATTTAAATACTTTTATAATTAAAATAAAAATAAAAAATACACATCTCTCTCTCTCTCTCTCTCTCTCTCTCTTTCTCTCTCTCTCTCGTAGACATCATTCTCCTGCACCATCACCCACTCATGAACACTAAATTGTGAAGATTAACTCCAAATTCTTCCCCACTGACTATCGGTTTATGGATAAGCTGAAAGGGTTAATGGAGAGCAAACTAAACCAAAATCAATTACAAAACTCAAACCAGTTTCCAAAAAATCAAAGTGGTGGCTCCGATGAAATCTAAGGAAGGAAGAAGTGGGAACAAGATCAGGAACCAGATTGGAGTTTGCATTTGTTGGTGGTTAACGATTCGATATTGGAGAAGTGGGAAATTAAACATGTTTTCATCTTCACCACCACCCGAATCAATTTTTATGTGTGACACTCGAACCCAAAAATCATTTTTTTGGATCTGATGAACTGACCTTCACCACAATCTAAATTGATTTTTATGTGTGAAACTCGAACCAAAACAAACAACAAGATCCGGATTCCAAACAGAAGGGAGGGAGGGATCTTGAGAGGAGATGAAATCGACTTTGATGATCTTTTTCCCCAATCCAGAACTAAGTGTGTATGTCAATTTCCAGATCTTCCTCTGTCATCATCAATTTACAGAAGATCTGAATCCGATTGCTCCGATCACCTCCATTAATGTCGTCTGTGTCTCCTTCTTTCCTTCTTCAAACTCAATTGCAGGTCACACTTAAGAGGACGAATAAAGTGACCCTTTATTTTTTTTCCTTTTTTTGTTCGATCGCAGGCGACAATTCTCTGTTCAATCACAACCCCTAATTCTTCAACCTTCTTCTTTCTTAATATTTTTTGAGTTGCATTTTGATCAGAAGAGAAATGGAAGAACAAGGAAGATGGGGATGATGGGTTCTCGATGGTGATGATTTTTCGTGGCGGTTGAAGATGAATATGATGGTGATTGTGAGAAGGCTTGATTTTTCTGGGCACAATTGGTATTTTTGGTGGTTTGGCGGTGGTGACCGAAGGATCTACTTTGATAGAGATGGGAGGGGAGTATCGGGCGTTCTTCAT